TGGAGTGGATGATGGATGGATGGATGGACTGTGATGGATGGATTGGATGGATGGATGGATGGATGGATGTGGATGTGATGGATGAGATGGTGATGAGGATTGCGATGGATGGATGGATGGATGGATGGATGGATGGATGGATGGATGGATGGATGGATGGATGGATGGGGTGGATGGATGGATGGATGGAGTGGATGGATGGAGGATGAATGGCATGGCATGGATGGTATGGATGGATGGAATGGATGGATGGATAGGATGATAGGATGGATGGATGGATGGATGGATGGATGGATGGATGGATGGATGGATGGATGGATGGATGGATGATGATGGAGATGGATGGATGGATGGATGGATGGATGATGGATGGATGGATGGATGGATGGATGGGATGGATGGATGGATGGACTGGATGCGATGGATGGATGGATGGATGGATGGATGGATGGATGTGATGGATGGATGGATGAATGGAATGGATGGATGGATGGACCTGATGGAGGTGGATGGATCGGATGGATGGATCGGGGATGGATGGATGGATGGATAGGATGCGATGGATATGAGATGGGGATGGATTGGATGGATGGATGGATGGATGGATGGATGGATGGATGGATGGATGGATGGATGGATGGATGGAATGGATGGATGGATGCGATGGATGGCATGGATGGAATAAATGGATGGATGGGTGATAGATGATGGATGGATGGATGGATGGATGATGTGATGGATGGATGGATGGATGGATCGGATGGGATGGATGGACTGGAATGGATGGATGGATGGGATCGGGAATGGGATGGATGGACTGGATGGATGGGATGGATGATGGATGGATCTGATGATGGATGGGATTGGATGGATGGATGATGGAATGAATCGGATGGATGATGATGATGGAGTTGATGGATGGATGTGATGATGGATGGATGGATGGATTGGATGGAATGGATGGATGGATGGATGGAACTTGATAGATTGGATGGCATGCGATGATCGGGATGGGCATGGATGGATGGATGGAATGGATGGATTGGATGATGGATGGAATCGGATGGATGGATGGATGGAATGGATTGGATGGATCTGGAATGATGGATGGATGATTCGGATGGATGGATGGATGGATGAATGTGATGGAGTGGATTGGATCGGAATGGATGGATGGATGGATGGATGGATGATGGATGGATGACTGGATGGATGGATGGATGGATGGATGGATAGGATGGAATTTGATGATGGATGGATGGATGGATTGGATGGATGGAGATGGATGGATGGATGGATGGATGGATGGATGGATTGGTATGGAAGGATGGATGGATGGATGGATGGAGTGGATGGCATGGATGGATGGATGATGGTATGGATGGATGGATGGATGGCATGAGATGGATGGAACTGGATGGGATGGATGCGATTGATGGAATGGATGGAATTGGATGGATGGGACTGGATGGGATGATGGATGGATGGAATGGATGGATGGATGGATTGGATGGATGGATGATGGACTGGATGTGACTGGATGGATGGTATGGATGGATGGATGGATGGATGGATGGATGATGGAATGGATGGATGGATGGATGGATGATGGATGGATGGAGTGGATGATGGATGGAATGGATGGATGGATGGATGATGGATGGATGATGGATGGATGGAAGTGGATGGATGGATGGATGGATGGATGGATGATTGATTAAACGCAAAATTTTATATGTGTATCCCAACTACCGTGTTTATTCTACAGCGCGCACTGCGCGGGTTTCACAGTACAATTGCAGCTAGACACCAATTTCGGTAATTGAACGTGTATATGTCACGTCGGCATGTCTGCGCACATGTTACGTGTCACCATTACATGTCAGCATTACGTGTACATGTCACGTTGCAGCGTGACGGGCCCCGTTCTCAGCTAACAATCTGCTCGAAGGCCTTACTAAACACCACACACAGCACCACAAACCCACCCATAACAGAGAGAGAAACAGCAGAAGAGAGAGAGAGAGAGAGAGAAGAGATGCAGATGAGAGAGATGAGAGAAGAGACGAGAGAGAGAGAGCGAGAGAGAGAGAGAGAGAGAGAGAGAGAGAGAGAGGATACGCAAGACACAGTAGACAGAGAGAGAGAGAGAGAGAGAGAGAAGAACAAAAAGCCACACAAGCACACAATACTACACGCACACAGCATGTCACCGCACGCATAATGAGTGTGCGGAATACAGAGAGAGAGAGAGTAAGAGAAAGAAAAGGAGAGAGAAAGACACACAAGCACACACATACACGCACACACGCACGCACGTACGCACACTCACAGAGAGAGAGAGAGAGACGAGATATGAGAGAGAGTGAGAAAGAGAGAAAGAGAGAGAGAGAGAAAAAAGAGAGAGAGAGAGAGAAAGGGAGAGAGGAAGACACACAAGCACACACGCGCGCGCACGCACGCACGCACGAAGCACCACCACACACACACACACACACACAACACAACCACACACACAACACACACACACACACACCACGAGAACACCCAGTGGAACACACAAGACCCAGCACGCGTACACGACACCAACCCTGATGTTGGCCGCAATCAATGATGCTACTGTGGACATACTCCCATCCAATTACCGGTTATAGAGACAACAACGTTAGATGTTGTATGTGCGGCGGCGTCTGAGTAGGTTTTTCGACTGTGTACTCAGTAGCCAGCGGCAGCGATCCATATATATACGTATTGGATATATATAAGTATAGGCGCACACCGTGCGCCCGCAGGGACGGGTACCGTGATTTTATATTCTAGTGTTGTTTGCGCACCTTTAGAGTGATGTAACTTCTATAGGAGGGAGTCGAATCTGTGTGCTGTGTGTGTGTGTGTGGTGTGTGTAGGTGTGTGTGTGTGTGTGTGTGTGTGTGTGTGTGTATTGTGTCAGCTGTGTGTGCGTGTGGTTGTGCGTTGCGTGCGTGCGTGCAGTATGAGTGTGTGCACCATGTGTGTTTGTTTTGTTGTTTGTTATGCGCTGCTGTACGTGCGTGCGCAGGTGCGTCCGCGTGCCGTGCGTGCGTGGTGCGTGCGTGCGTGCGTTGCGTGCGTGCGTGTATGTGTTGCGTTGTGTGGCGTGCCGTGCGTGCGTGCCTGCGTAGTTTGTGTCTGTATGATGTGTGTGTGAGTGTGTGTGTGTGTGTGTGTGTGTGTGTGTGTGTGTGGTGTTTCGTGTCTCTGCGTGCGTTCGTGTGTGTGTGTACGGTGTACATCGTCGATGGAAAACAGCTGGTGAAATTTAATCAGCGACAGGATGGATGCAATCACGGCAATAAATGCGTTTACGAAACCGCCCGCGCGTGCGCTCCCCTTCTCTCTTCTTCGCCTCGCTTTGCTTTTGAACTCATCTTCTTTTCTCGCTCCTTTTTACCGCTTATGGCTTCGCATCGTACGAGCAACATACTCGTTTCATCATTTTTGCTTCTCCTTTTTTCTTCCTCTTATCCTAATCGCTTGTCCAATGTGGGGAGTCCACCCGTTTAAATGCGACTTCGAGACTAGTGTATTTCGAAATCGAAAAGAAGGGGTGCCCTCCATATTGGTGACTGTACCGCGTATGATGTAGAAGTAGCAGCAACCCATGCATGTTCAGTCAGTCGATGATTCATTGACTATATGATGGCATCGACGTACAGCAGTTGGCACCGAGCGATCTTGCCGGGAATTAATTCGAATTCGTGCGAACTGTAGTTAACTCGTAGCTAATTGGGTATTTAATGTGAAATCAACCGCGCTCTCATTTATTGGCTTAGACAATCGGCACGTGATGCCACAGGATTGACACAGCGATAGCAATTAAGCAATGTGACCAGCTAACACAAAATCGTTATTATAGCGTTTTTATAACGTAATGCAAAAGTTGTTATAGCGTTTTTTGTAACATTGATGTAACGTAAATGTCTAGGGTTTTTATAACGTTGATTATAAACGTTGTAAAAACGGTTTTTATGTAAGCGTTGATATAGAACGTATTGTATGGGATCACTGTGCAACGTTGAAAATAACTGTTAAGTTAATGTATTCACAATAACGGTGATTATAACGTGGATTTTCCTACTGAAACGTAATTTGTGTATGTGCGCGTGCGTGCGTGCATATATATACTGTATATATATATACTATAATATATTATATATATATATCAATGAAGACAAACATACTAACAAAATCAGTGTTTACGCGAGCTGAGCATATTTACACGTAGTGGAATTAATTTTACGACATATAGAAACGCTGGGCACATACAGTATGCAATCAAAGCCACAGTTCCGAAAAGTAAATACGTTTAATCCATGTTTAAAAAAATAAACTTACAATTAAAACGCGAACATGATTTACAACTATATATATATATATATATATATATATAATCCTTCAATATAAAACCAAATCAAAACAAAATTTCAAAAGTTTGAAAATTTATGATGAAAATATTCGGCTATCCTAATCTGCGATATATGCACACATAACTACTCATTAAGCAGTTGATAATTTCTTAATACAAACATTCCAGATATATACTATCACACATATACATATGAAATCGCAAACCTTCCTATATAATATTTCAGAAATGAATAAAAGCATAATTACAAATCAAGAGCTAATAATACCTATATAACTAGGAGCTGAGCTATAATAAGGTATTATTAGCTTCTCGTTATTATACATAGTGATAATTCCTGAATAAGAATTCTAGGTTAAACATCATTATATATATACATAGATAGATAGATATATAGACAGATATGAATTAACACAAACACATCTATTGTATCAAATCTCTGTGTGTGTGTGTATATATACATAAACTTCTTGGCTTTTGATTTTATTCTCACCTCCGCATTAATGCCCCCCCCTACTCTTTCTCTATGAGCATTCTCTCTGTGTGTCGTGTGTGTCTCTCTCTCTCTCTCGCTCCACCTCTGCCAGCATCTTCGCTCCATCACTGGTGGTTCGGTGATAGAGATGGCTTGGTATCCCATGTGATGCAACTCTAATCTGTTTCACAGAAGGAAAACGTGCCAAATGTACGTACGCATGTATATCATACATAATATCAGGAGAATAATATTATCTCTCTCTATATATATATTACAAAGAGCTAATAATACCTTTATAAATATTATTATGGCTCTTGATCTATCTATATATGTAATATCATCTGTTTAATCATAGTCATGAAAGATATTCTGCATAAATATTGCTGCCACTGTGAAATATAGAACTAAAAGGACAGTTTAGTACAGCTATAGGCAGTATAGCGTATTTAATTACTCTCAACTGCTTCACATAAGTTGTAAACACTATACATACCTCCACTCCACTGCTTTCTAGTTCAGCAGTCAGCGTCTCTTCTTCAGCTGGAGCATGAGAGTCAGAAGTTTTCTATGCGAGGCAACCTCAGTCTGTTCCAAAGAGAGAGCACGCCAGCCAGTATGAATACATAATCATGTGTAGGCGCACTCGAATCTGCTGGTAGTGACTCGTCACTCACATGCACGCACGACGCAACGCACCACGCACGCACGCACGCGACACACACACCAACACACACACACACACACACACACCAACACACACACACTTGATACATTGGTCTGCCCAGATCGACTGCATTTGTCTTGGCATAACTTTTTGTAGCCAAATGCAACACAACAACGTCGCGCACGCACGCACGCACTCACACACACAACACACCACACACCACACACACACACACACACACACAACACACACACCACACACAACTTGATACATACTCAGCCACGGTCTGCCAGATGCGACTGCATTGTCTTGCATAACTTTTGTAGCAATGCACCAGAAACGCGGCCGAGGCACGCGCGCGCGCACAGCACGCACCGCACGCAGCCGCACGCACGCACTGCACAACACAACACGCGCGGCGCGCGCGTACTGCAGTACAGTGCCTATTACATATCACAACTGTAATGGCAGCCTGTCCAGAGGCAAATTTACTTCTAGCCATAATTCATGAACATAAACAATATGATAACACATAAGCTAACCAGAGAAACTCGTATAATAACTATTATGAGGAGTAATACAACACATATATTTACCTTGGTCCAGTACTTGTGCCTCGACACCCAGCTGGCGCGCAATTCGAAGACTAACTGACCGTTATGACATCGTTATGACTCGTACTCTCGTGTACGGCGTCCGTTTACGCGCACTATGCGTAGACTGGCTCCTGCCCGTTTCAGCTGTACCGTTATCAGAAGCACGCCGCTAATAGCACGCGTGTGTGTGGTGTGTGTGCGTGCGTGCGTGCGTGTGCGTGGCGCGCGCGTGTGTGTGTGCGTGTGGGTGCGCGTGTGTGCGCGCACGTACGTGTGTGTGGCACTGGTGTGCTGTATATGGGTGTGCCGTGTGGGTGTGCGTGCGTGACGGATTGCGTAGCGTGGTGTGTGCGGTGCATGCTTACGTATGTGTGCGCGCCCGCGTGAATGCGAATAAAATGTAGTTATAGTAAATCGTTTGTCAGGAACCTAAACATAGGCTTGGTAATGCAAACAGTAAATAAACGTTGGTTTTCAACGTTTTAAGGGAACCAAACATTGTACATGTTACGTAGTGGTTTATAACGTAAGTTTTTGGCAAACGTTGTTAAGAACCGACATGTAACGTTACTATCAACGTTTACTGAACGTTAACAAAACGATTTTGGCAAACGTTTTTCAATAACTTAATATAACCTTATTATAAACGTTTTACTAACTAACCGTAATAGAACCGTTTTTTAGCAAATCGTTTTTAAATAACATATATACTTTATAGAAACGTTTTACGAACGTTTGAAAAACGTTTCATTCATACCAAATCATAAAATATACCATTCAAAAAACGTTGCGAAAAACGTTATGTGTTATATATATATATATATATATATATATATATATATATACTATATATATAATTAACTGCCGGCGACGCTAAAAAGTACCGGATCCAGAAGTGCTCCACAGCGCGAGAATTTTCAGCAAACAGAAATTATATTCTGTACTAGTTAGGCAGTATGCTTCTGTACTTTACTCGTACTTAGTATATATTTTTTCGATGGTCGTAAAATCCAGGGCGGGTATATAGCTGGAACAGCGTCCAGACATTCGAAAAAATTTTCTCCGAAATCGAAAGCACAATGTTTCACTCTAGTCTGCGTGTTTTCATCGTAAGTAGAGGAGAATGCATATATACGCCACGTATGTATTTTCAGGAACGTCGATCAGATATTCGAAACAGAGATTCAGAAGCCAGGAGCACATCGTTGCACGGTAAGTACCATAGAAATTATACAGTGTATCGTGGAATAATGTAGCAGATGCTATCCCTACATATTTATGGTGACTATATAGGGGCTGTTTTCCTGCCACGTGAAAGATGAAGCAAACACTGTACGTGGATATTTTTGCGTAGCGTTGAAACGCTATCGATGTTTGTCGTAATATAGAAGATATTAGTTAAGATAGTCGAAACTATCTTTACATTTCTGTGGTAAAACTACACACGCTGTTTTATCCTCGTACATAAAGAATGACGTATGTACTGTATGTGCACATTTTTGCATATTGTTCAGACGCTACCGATATTTGTCGTAATATAGCGGATATAGTAGAAACTATCTCTACATATCTGTGGCGACAACATACGCTGTTTCTCCTCGTAAGTACGACTCCCAGTGAGGCTCATAGGGTCTATGTCCCCCAGGGTAGGCCTACTGCCGGAGGGTACCCTAGGTACGGTTCGATATATCGGAACGTACCCTGGTAACTATCTGATATGGTTAGGGTTAGGGTTAGGGTTAGGGTTAGGGCGACTCCCTAGACTCGTTAGTGGAGTAGGCGAGGTACGGTCCGGCATATTAGATAGTACCAAGAGTAGATAATAACACAAGAGTGAGACACCCGATTCCCGCATTTTTAACCGATTTTTCTCATCAAAATTTGCCACCAATAAAGAAGCGATCCCGCATTTTTAACCGATTTTTCTCATCAAAATTTGCCACCAATAAAGAAGCAAGTGTATACGTTCCGCAGCTTATTATGACCACTAATCACTCACCTTCGTGGTACTGATATTCGTTTATGCATTTATTTATGTGTTCTTATCTACTCTTGATAGTACCAGGGTACGTTCCGATATATCGAACCGTACCCAGAGTACCCTCCGATAGTACCCTGGGGGACATAGACCCTCTCAGCTCCAGTGAGATGCCGTGTACACACGCAACGTGCACATTTTTGCTTAGTGTTTAGACGCTATCCGTGTTTCTCCTTTCAAACAGATGTCTCTCGCATGCGACGACACCGAATGTACATTCGCTACAGCATATAACTTTAAATGTAAACAATATTATTTAGATGCGCGCATCGCGAGGCACCAACAAAGAATTGAGAGCAGTAATATCCGTAATGAGACTCGCATAGATATGGCCACAGATGGCAGGCTTACTGCACTTTGTGAGAGCTCTGTATTGAATAGCATCACACGTTATATTAATCAAGAAGCTCTCAGCATGCCAGCATAGCTTGGGGAAATGAATGCGTTTCACGGTTAAGCTTAAATTACTCTCCATCTATTTTGGTAAAAAAGTCGATTTATATATATATATATATATATATATATA